CACACACACACACACACACACACACACACACACACACACACACGTGCACTTATTACTATACTTCCATCTACTATCTCACATCCAGCAGAATTAGTTCTACTGCAGACTCACAATTTCCAACAATATTATATTGCTTCTATAGTTATCATCTTTGCTGAGGAGGCTCCGTTGATACATCTTTCGAACATTTGATTTGTGCTGCCTGCCAAAGTAGTCTTTACTCCAAACTTGACAAGCGTCCATTTAATGACCCAATTTGTCACCGCTTTTGTGCTGGCAAATAATTTTTTTTTGTCTCTCAAAATAAACCCCCCTCCTGATTTTCAGACTTATTTTATTCCCCCCAAATTCCTTTCTTTCTTTCTTTCGATGTTTGCTTAACTCATGGATTTCCATCTCGGCACTGATTAAGTTTCTTTTATTTTGGCTTGTTGTGGTTGCTCTTATTGCTGATATTTTTCTATGAATATTACCAGAACAAAGCAAAATTTGTATCTCTTCCAGACGAATATTATATCAGCTTATTACTCTGATTTTCATTGATTGAGTAGGTGTTTTACGGCACTATCGACTCAGTTTTGGTCATGTACGTGCCAAAAAACGTTTTAGCTTATTACTCTGATTTAATATATTTAACATGAATGTATAATTCTTATCAATGTAAGACTATTTCCCTTATATATAATACTATACAATTAATCATGTTCTGTTTCGTAATCAGTACCAGCATACCACTTCGCTACCTATTAGATTTACAAAGTTCTATCAACTTAGTGTCTAGTTTCGGAAAATTTGATGTCAAAAAGTTTGATTTTCACATGTCAAGCTTTTTGGAATGCAATTTTTTGAATATTTTGAATCGATATCAACTCAAAATAACGATTTTAATAGATCAGATAGAGCATTTGGTATCTGAAGTCATGCTCTTAGTAACTCAAAACGACCCAAAATTTCAGATAGAAATTTGTAATATTAAAGAAGCGATTAACACTTATTCGTAAGTTTTGCTATAACCTTGTATCATCGCATAAGACATCCAGTATCCATACCCTATGAAGGTGTATTCCGTTATAATTTTTTTATTTTTTTGTTTGTTTCCAGCGCCGGTATCATCGTCGGCATCGTGTTTGCCGGTATTTTCGGCATCGCTCTCATCACGGCCATCGTCTGCTGCTTCATCAAACAGAAAGGTGCCCGCGGCAGGATGGTGAGACCTTCAAACGCCACCACCACCACAGTCGTGGGACATAGTGCACAGAGCAACGTCTTTATCGTGCCAAGCGGTGGGTTTTAAAATCTCTTTTGTTTGTTTTTGTAAGTGTTTTTACGGCGCTCGCAACTGCATAAGGTTATATGAGCGAACGGGACACATTAAACTTTTTCAGTTGGTAGGAAATTTTGAATTTTGCCCGGATGGCGGCCGAAGCCTACTCTTATCGATTTTAGACCACCAAGGGATCTTTAACGTGCACAACTTGCACTCGGGCCCTCCGAGATTTTTCACCCTTGTCCGAGAAGGCTAGATGTAGATCTTTCCTACCAGAAGATAAGGGGAGTGGCTGAAAGACAGCAGTAAGAAGAAGCCAAGGAGTAGCAGTAGAAAGGCTGTAGAAAGAATCAGGAGCCCAGAGGAGGGGGGTAAAGGAGATGAGCGGGTGGGGGAAGAAAAAGGAGACGAAAGCAGACGACAGAACATTGCTAGAGAGCAGGAAAGGAGGTGAAAGGAGACAAATTTAGAGAAGAAAATGTTTAGGTCACTACCCAGATCCGAACCCGGGCCCTTTGAATGAGGGGCCAACATCTTAACCTCTAGGCCACCAGAGCCGCCTCTAAAATCTCTAAAATTTATGTAGGGTTTTTTTGACAAGTCGTCTGGATACTGTCTTTATTTAATCAAAAGCTGTGGACCCCCCCCCCACCCCCGGACACTGAAGTGTCTTTAGGCCATTCAAAAAGGGGGGGACATTCTCGTTCATGCACAGTAGAATTGTAAATGGGTTCATTCATCAATGCCATGCTCATTACTGTTCCTTATCTACGACAGGGAACTGCTGCTTTTTCTTTCCTAATCCTTACTATTGTCATTTTCCTCTACTTTTTTGTATGTTTGTCACTCTCTTGGGACCCACTATTTCCGGGGTGCCTTCTTCTCTTTTGATATCCACCCCTTGGCGCTCATATGACCTTATGCAGTTGCAAGCGCCGTTAAACCTCTACTTAAAAAAAGAAGCTGTGGAAGATGGTCAGAGAAAATACAAGTCTTACGAAATACATGTATAAAGTACTCTTCTTCCAGTTAGTTGAAAATGACTGAAAATGATAATGTTATCCCCCTCCCTCCTTGCAGACCTTAGCCTCTGATACATTCGTTATTTGACAATTGCATGCGTAAGACCTGAGAGACATTCTCGGGTGAAAATGATTTTTAAAGAGAATCTCACTCTGTCTGCTTGTGCGTTGTATCCCTGTCATCCTGGGTCGGAGCCCACTCCCTAGATGATCTAAACTGTGTCGATGGTAGCGTAAAAACACTTACAAAAAATTTCCTTAATCACTTAGCTATCTCTTCCGCTTTTCATACGGAAAAAAGGCCACTTAGTCACGAAAAAAATCAAAATGACGTTACATTATAACTGTATTATCAAACTGAAAGGCTCCCGTTTATTTTCACGGCATGTTGGGATCTCGAACACGACAGTTTGATAAAATTATGTCTTCTTTTTGACAGTATTTTTTTCATCATTTTTACTGTTATTTTCTATTGTTTGCTATTTCATTATTAAAGGATTGTATGTATGCATTATCACTTTACTACTTTCTCAACCTACTCAGAAAGATATGAACATTTTTACTACATACGACTGTTCCCCTGTTGAATTGTAAATAGCGAAGTTAAATTTAAGGAGCTACTTTAAAGAAAAACAAACAAACAAACAAAAACAACCACATCAACAACAAAACAACAACAACAACAACAAGAAACCCAAACCAATCAGAGGCGAAGCGTCTATATAATCAAATAATTACTGCTTCCCTTCCTAATTTTGAAACATTGTCGCAGTCAAATTCACCCATAGACGTAAACCTCATAAATTAAATGTAAAAAGACGTTCATAACCACCAATGAACAATAGACTATGCCTAACCTTCAAAACCGTTTCATTGCCACAGAAATAGCCTGTTCGCCCCTATCGGGCCACTCCATAAGCAGTCACAAGCTTTGATTAAGTAAGCTTAAAGTGAGGCTGGAAGAGTCAACCAATAGATTTGAAGGGAACATGTGCATAGCAGTCAGAACTGTTTCATTGTCGCATATACCCTGTTCACCCCTTTCGGGCTACAGTTATAAGCACCCAGACTCGCTGATTATCTAAGCGAACTATTACACTGGTCGAGTCTACCTCACAGATGTGAGGGGAACTAACTCCTAATAATCCTTTGACTCCTGCTACTACACTGCTAGTGCTTGTTTTTTTCATCGACTTTTTGACGTCCTATAATCAGATCGTGACCTCTATTATGACAGCGGCTCCTGGCCGCGAAAAGCTAGACAAAAAACAGCCAAATGTGAAATAAATAATTAATAATTGGCGTGCTCTACCAAAGTGTTTCGGCTGTCTGGTATAACATGCCATTGTAGTGCTGACATCTGTGCTTCTTTCCTTGGTGTTCGTGTGTTCAAATCTAAAGTTAAATTTAAGGTTAGTTAGAATAAGTATAATTTAATAAAATACTTTCCCGATTATTTTAGCGGTTGAACAAGCATACAACATGAATTCAGGATTTGTTTTCATTCACAACTCAGAGTTGCCGCCTCCAGTGCCAGTGACTTCTGTGAGTGTGATATCTCCAGGCCCTATCTGGTCCCATTTCACTTTGATTACCCTGTCAAACAAGTCAGCCTTCGCCCCTGAAACCAATTAAGACGGAAGCGCAGTAGACTTAGCCCGAGTAATAATATATAACTCTATCTTATGTCACCATGCCTATGGCAATCTCATATTCTCTACACAGTCAATAGGATTATCTAGCTTAGGAAAGTTAATTTGACAAATAAAATACACACAAGGCGGATTTGATTTGTTCCGCACTGATTTGTTTTCCGTTATCTCTCTGTTGTTCCAGGTCCTGCCCCTCCTGCCTACTCTGCTGTAGGCTATCCCAACCCGTACAGTGCCTACGGAGGATACCCCATGGGTCCGAGTGCCCCCATGCCTCCAGCCTACTCCCAGCCCGGAGCGCCACCCCCAGCCTACTCCTACGACCCTGCCTACCCACCAAGCACCGCGACTTCGCAGGCAGGGGCCTATCCACCGCAAAATGCCAGTCAATTTGGGAACGGGAAATGAACGGGAATAATTAACATTTGATCTGAGTTGCCAGTGTTGCCGGAATATACGTGAGCCTGAAGACCTATCTAAAAAAACTCAACGTTGGTTATTTTGACATACCTCAAACCGTTTCAAGATACAAAAGGTTTTTATGTCAGAAAGAATGATAATAAGCACATGTATCCATAAATTAAAAAAATAAATAAAATAGAACAAAAAATACCAACAAGTACAACTAAAAATCCCCTTAGAATGCCTTTGAAGTTCCACCACTTTCTTCAGTTTTGTAACACGTTGTTTTTAAAATAATTTTCAAAATCTAAAGAAGACAACTCAGTGAAAGTTTTTCAATCGCATGCCGCAGAACTGACGCTATCGCTGTTTTTCAAGAAACTAACTTTTTTACCAGAATTGAACGTCCTCTTTAGCTCGTTGCTCGGAACCAACGTTGTCAATTCAAAAAATAGTTTTTCTCCTGGTGCACACATTAATTATGCTGTTGATAAATATTTCGTGTCACTTTTCCGTCCCATTATCTTTTGAGCCTTCATAAATACGTTTTGTCTGTGGAATATATTTTGATATTCGAAGGGTTCTCAACCAAACCTGGCCATCGCATCCTTTTCTGTCCGTCAGTCCGTCTGACTTTATCTTTGTCACCGTCTCTGTCTGTCTGTCTGTCTGTCTGTCTGTCTGTCTGTCTGTCTGTCTGTCTGTCTGTCTGTCTGTCTGTCTGTCTGTCTGTCTG